AGACTGTCTACCCGGAAATTCTAAAGATATGCTGATTTTAAATATTTTGTAATATTGCTGTAGAATTGAATTTTATGTGGTTTAAGTTCAAAGAATATGATATTTAATAAATAAAGGTAATACACAAAACCTTAAAAAAAGCCCCCTACCTTGGTATAATATAAAATCTGAAGGCTTTCAGGTTCTTGGACTAATAGCCCAAGGGCTATTAGTCTTAAAATGGCATTTCTGCGTTGATTCACTTTTAAATTTTTGTCTCCAAATATTATCGCCATGTATTATATTACTTATTTTGTTTTATAAAACATAACTTGAATGGTTGAAAGTGTTATTAGTACAAAAGGTAACACAAATTACTCATGGAAATCTTCCACGAGTACATGAATAATTCAAAACGATTTAAGTTATTATTCATTTATTTTTCAACATTTGTTGAACGGTAACAGAAAACTACCTGTTAGAAAATTTATGAAATTTTTACGCACGCATGCATTCAGAAAACGAATATTTTCTTCCTTAAGGAAACTTCCTTTACGCTGACTGAACTTCTATTATTAATCTCGCATTAAGCCGACGCTTAGCAAATTTAACTTGAAATATGAGAACATGGAAATTTCTTTTTATTTCCCGTCGAATATGTCTCGCGGCGTATTTCGTGATTCGACGCATCAATTCATATATTTTCTCAAGATTTTTTATGAAATGCAATAAGTTAAAAAACTCAGTAGAAGTCATACAGGAATTCTCTAGAGAAATATAACCTCATGCGTTTGTTTCACTTACCTGTATAAAACGTCAACAGTTTTTTTTAGATTAATTTTTTTTTACTTTTAAACAGCAGTTAATATTAGATTTAGAAAAATAAAAATAATAATTTCTATCTTGAGAATTTAAATTAACTTGAGAACTTTCTTCAAAGTAAAATAATAATAGTTTTATTTTGAAACGCATTTTTGGGAACTTATCTTAATTAGTATAAAAAGTTTAGAAAGGCATTTCTATGAAAAAATTAGATGGAAAAAAAAACCGATAATGTACTCATTTTTCACTAAGACGTTAATGAATTCTACTTACATTGATGGAATTAATTACTTAATAGAGTGCTCTCAAGCCTAAATGCCGGCCGAATATCCGATCTGAAAGCAGCTGACAGGCGATATCCCACACCCCCAAGGAATTTGTGTTTATGTGGTTTAAGTGCGAATTTTAAAGTTTTAGTTAAATTTTGAGGTTATTGCCTACAAGAAATTTATAATAGTTACTAAATTTCTAATAGTAATAAGAGCTAAATAATAAAATTTCAGGCTCAAATTTATTTTCTAATGTATTGAATAAACTACTAAATAGCTTACTTTTATCTTAAACTAAAGATAAACAAATTACGAAAGCTTTTCAAGTGAGACAAAACTTTAATATGAAAATAAGGGCAACTTATTCTTTTTCTTTTCTTTATAAAATTTTTCTTTGGCGCATACATTAGCAATCCAAGTATTTATATGTAAATAATTATAAACGCATTCATTTCTTGCTACAAATTTCAACTATAACCCTTCATGTCTTTTCGATTTTGCTAAAGTGTATAAGGTTATTTTCTCCCTCCTTTCTGCATGTCTTTGTGGTGTAACGGCAGCACACGCGGCACGTATTCAAGGGGTCCAGGTTCCAGTCCGGCGAGGGCTTTTCATATTTTTCACGTCTCCGGATTAAAATCCTAATAACTCTACAGTTTTTTTAAATAAAAATTTATTATGAATATTAATATTTTGCATATACTTAAATAACTATTAAATTCGCATCACATATATACTCCGAAACAAAGCTATTATCAAATTATACTACAAGTCATCATACAAATATACTCCCAAACAAAGCTATTATCCTTATTGGAAGAATTTGTAACTGGGGTATTTATCTTTTGACAAGTACTAAAAATAAGTACTTTATCTTTTGATAAGTACTAAAATTTATCTTTTGACAAGTACTAAAAGTTACGGAGAGCTGTATTTTCAATATCTGAATAATTTTTAAATCACAGCGTAAATTAATTAACTCCGTTCGTAGATTTTTCTAGAGCGTTCAATCACGTTCGTTTTCAATCCTACTGAAAGCAATGTTAAATTGGACTCCAAATCATTAAAGTGTTAAATCCTTCTTCAACTTCTCGTTATAATAATTAATGTCATAATAATGCTGATAGATTTACGGGAAAAGTATTTGTGTGCTGGAGAAAACTGCTTCGGGGGGCCACAAGTTTGAGACCATTGACTTAGTTTTGAAATCGAATTTTCCGTAAAACGTTATGGGAAAAGAAACTTATAAAATCTATTACAACTTTTTAATATGTTTGATCACTTGCCTTGTTCCCAAAATGCTTATTATGTTCATCTAAAAAGACTTCCTTTACTTTTTTACATTAGAACTGACATTCATTGATTTAATAAGCATAAACGAAGCACTCTGCCAGCTTTTCCATCAATTCGACATTTTATGTATTATACGCATTAGGAATATTTTTATTCTTTTAAAAAATAATAACGATATTACTTTAAAAAGAATTTCATCGAATATTTAGCCCTTTCCATATTATGCTGCATGCCCAAAACATTTTTGACCCCCGGTTTAATAAAGGGTATAAGAATTTTCCGTCAGAGATTACAAATTTTGGTGTTAGAAATTTTGGGGTTAAAATATGCTTATATACAGGGTATCCACAGAGTCTCTGAACAACTTTTAACAGCTTGTTGTTTGAGAATGGATCCTCTTACGATTTTATTAAGGTATAACGTATACTTCTGACACTTTCAGAAGGAAGGTTCAAACTTTTTGTTACAAGTGACATAGGTTATACGACCTGGACATTGGGTAACTGTTTCACTGGTAGCTTTAGTTAAGCAACTGCAATTAATCAAGATATCGAATTAAACTCTGTCAGTATTGTATTTTAATGAAAGAAAAATGGTCCTGAAACCATCTCATATGAAACATTTACAAAAGCGGTCTGTCCCGCTTTTAGTCTCTTAGGTAATGAGGATTTTTGGACCCTAAATTATGTGAATATTAAACGAAAACAAATTGTTAGGAAAGAACTTTGATAAATGTGTAATAATACCACAAAAATTTACAGCACTCTTACAGGGGGCCCAAAATAATAAGCTAAAGTTATTCAACGGACATCTTTTATGTTCATTTGTACAATACAAATTGCGCTACTGGATTAAATGTCGTTTAACTAGATTTTGTTTTATTTGCTTGAACGTCCTGCTTCAATGAAGTCCATTCTTGAAATGCTGCCTTCCTATGAGCCCTGCTGTCACGTTTAATCTTTCAGTGTCACGGAAGCGAACATTAAAATCCTTTAAATTCTGCAAGTGGCACAAGTGTATATATTCTGCAAGGGTATAACAATATATCTTCTAAAGGAGTAAGGAGTCGTATTTTTTTGTTGCGTTTCTTGTGTTCCTGCAAATTGCGCCTTTGGGCTAAAAGAATTAACAGCTCACTATTTTTCCCAAAATTTTATTATTATGCAATACATACTAAAATTAAATATTGTAATAGGTATACAAAACAAGAAAACAGTTATTTAAGCATCGTCATAGAGCATACCATCACAATTCAATATCCAAATCGCTAACTCGTTTCTTGAATTAAAACCTTCAGAACAAAAGATCTTTTCACTCTGTTCACTGAACCAGTATAAAGGGAAAGCGTACGCGACTTTTTGACATGTTGCATCATTGGTAAAAATATTAATCACTTTGTCTTTAACGATACAAATATTATAGAAAACATTTCTGCGTATGAAATAAAAAATTACCAAAAATGTGATACGCTTCTATGAATTGAATATTTCGTAGTAAAATTTTAGTAATTTTTGTCCTGTTTCTTTCTCATTATGATGTTTAATTCATAAAAAATATTTATGCATAAAAATAATATTAAAATATTTGATGTTAAATAAAAACATGTATTAGGACATCCTGAGAAGTATGCATTAAAAGTAAATATGAAACGTGTATTCTTAAAATGTGCTTGTCTCAAATGAAATTTTCGTTTAAATACATCTTCAAAAGGCTCTATTCGCTTTAGTTTTTGTTCAAAATGATATAATTTGTAACTTAAATTCCTGTTTATACACTTAAAAAAACTGAATATGCATTTTAGAATGCGAATTCATAAAGGGGCCCAGTTAAAGTGTGTTAAAGTGAGAAATTTTGTCCATAGTTTAGGTACGTGTAAAGGAAATGTTAATTAATAATTAAATTTATGTTTAGAAATTTAAAAAAATTAAGCCGCATGGAGCATTTTGAAAAATTGAGATTTTATGAGAAAATGTAAATTACAATTAGTCAGACTATTTGATATCAATCAAAGATATTTGATATACATATGGTAAAATACATATACATGCACAATTTCATATCTCTGTGACAGTAGTTAAAAATAGTTGAATGCCCACCGCCTCCTTAAAATCATAGAAAATGGAAGCAAAGACACAGAAGAGAAAATAGGAATTTTAATAATGAAAAAAAAGAAAAAAACATTAACTATCATTTCAGGTTATGTAACCTGATTTCATTAACATAATATTCACCAGGGTTATCTTTTTGAAAAGGAAATATTTAGTGAAAGAATTCTTTGAGAAAAGTTATTCATATTTATGGTTCACCTAAAAATATTATGGCTAATTAAAAAATTTCATATTTATGACCCCCATGATAACATTCATGGGTCTACCACACGACCGTTAAATAGTAATGGAAATTTTCCAGTGTAACAAAGAGGAAAGAAAGTATACTATTAGAATTAAGAGAGGAACTAAGTTATTGCATTACCGTACTAAAAAGGAAATTGAAAGCACTGCATACTAAAATATCAGTAATTTAACTAAAAAGTAGGAATTTGCATCAAATAACAGCTATAGAAGATGGTGTAGAAATAATATTTGTTTTAAAAGAAAGAAAGTTTATTTGTTTAAAAGTTTGTTACTGTCTTTTTAGCTTTGATAGCTGGAAAGGGAAGGACGGAACAGCAACGTAACGATGAAGAACATGATCAGGTAAATTTTTATCCTGCCTTTGTATGATTGCAAATGATTAAATTTCAATAGATAATACATTGAATAATTTTTATTGCAATTAGCCGAATATTGGTTACTTTCTATAACTTACAACTTTAGAATAATAACTGAAATTAATAAAATAAGTAATTAATATTAAATAAATAAATCATTAAATAAGTAATTAATAAAAAATAAAACAATAATTAATTTTCGAAAATTTTTCAAAGCGATTATTATATAGTTAAAACAAATGACTACTAAGTCAGTGATTAAAAAAATCTGATGTGGCCAGCACAAGACCTCCAATATCACTTACGGTTGATAGATTGTAAATCAAATCTAATTTGTTTATAAACATTTATTTCACAGTATTTATTATCAACACTACTCATTTTTATTTTTCAATAAAGTGATTGATTTGAAGTCCTTGAAAATATGGCAATAATTCTCATGACTCAGCATAATTTGAAAATATTTCACACATAAAAGTGTTTGCACGCACAATTAAAACTTGGCTAATATTTCATGAGAATAACTCACGAGAATTCCTATGCCGACCGTTCAAAAGTACAGTGAAACCTCGGTTTACGAATGTATTTCATATATAAAAAGCCGATTGTCATGTTCGTAAGCCGAAACCATTTTTATTCTGATAGGAATTAATGTAAAATAGATTAATTCGTTCACGGTAGAAATGGGCGAAACCGCCATTTTTTGGAACCGGATCAGAATTGTTCGCTTACTGAAATGAATCGGTTCACTTTTACGACTCACCGTTCACTAACAATAACCTTGATGAAAAGATCCAGAACTGGGTTAAATCAAGAGCAATTAGCGACGATCAGGACCAGCTCACGAGGTTGGAGCGAAGAGCAAAAAGGAGTGGATTAGTACAAGGAGTGGGATTAGTGGAATCGACTCAATGAAACTCTAATTCTCGGGGCTGATTTCTTTAAACTACAATTTTGAGATATCTAAAACCTTTGGGAAGCCTTCAGCTGCCTAAAACCTTCTACCTTCTTTCTAGACAGAACTAGCAATAAAATTCCAGAATAAAAATTTTTCAAAAAAAATTGGGAAATAAAAATTAAATTTGCTTTTAATATATGGAAGGATAAACATTCTTTTCTCTCCTAAAAGGAAAACTGAACTTTCTTGGAATGCTTCTAACAAGAGCTGCTCGTTCGCTTGTTCAATAAGACGAATTAGGTCGCTAACGCAAGCAGATCATTGCTGCTGTCACGCTTCCAAGAAGAGCTTGTCGTGAACTGTAGAACTAGAATTCCGTTTTCTGGGATAAGAACAAATTCGCTAAGTAAAGTGATTGATTCTTTGGATTAGTTCCGCAATAGATCATCCAATTAATAATTAACTAAAACTTCTCAGCGCGTTTTTGTGAGTATTGCCCAGGGTGCGGCAGTTGGCTCTGAAACCCCCTAAATCTGCCTTCGGCTGAAAGATACTCTATTAGATCTCGATGTCCACCGGTGAGCCTCCTGGGAACCACTGCGTTAAAGTATAAAAAATTTTAAATCAAAACCTTTTTTGTTTGAATACAAATTTGATTAGACATTTTTGTTCATGAATTTAATCAAAATTTTGATTTAAGGTATCAGCGGGCTCTGAAAACACATACCAGGCGACAACTGAACCCGTCTTACAAGTTGTTCAGTCTGCGGAGAGAAGAATGAGTCTTGAAGACTTTTTCCTCAACCGAAACCAGCAGCCTCAGCAACCTCAACAACCTGAGGCACCCCAAGTTCAAGAAGTGCCATTGACTCAATTTCAAGTCCAGCAACCTAATCCAAACAGTGTATTATTGGTGAGAGATACCCAGTTTCCTAATCCTAGAGGGGGTCTTCTTTCAAGGATTCTGCTGGCAAGAAGAATGCTTCGTCTGAGGAGGATAGCTAGAAGATTAGCCATTGTACCTCGAATGCTGAGACTTGGACAGCAATTACGGCAGGTAAACTTTTGGTAAAATAAAACAGGTCAGGTATAAAAGGTTTGTCTAATAGTCAGATAAAAGCAGTTAAGAAGATTTAAAATTATAAAGAAGTATAAGCCATGAAAGCGCACTTTTAAAAAATTGTCTTTAAACAGTATTAAGTCAATTTCCTGAAACTCAAACTGCATGCGGACCGAATGACACTCTGAAAATAGCTGACGGCCCATATTTTTTTAAAAAATAAAATGAAATTTTTTATTAACAAAATAATTTTTTTAATATCGCATTTTAAACATTTATTGAAATAAATATAAATAATAATAATAATTAAAGAAAAAATCAAAATTTTGATTATTTTCTATCTGAAATCTTAAGTTTGGACCTACAAGACATTTTGCTTGGTTACACTTTGTAATTCGAACGTATTAATATTTCAGACTGGTATTTCAAATAATTGTAACATGGTTAACATCATTAAATAACTTACTTAATCATTAAATAACTTACTTTAATTTAAGTTTAAAATAAAAATATTATGTCAATCTGTGAACAACTCAGTTTATTTCTTTTAATACATATATTTGTAGCTAACTAATTATAAATTTTTGACGTAAACATAAAATTTCCTTGTACACAAAATTTTCAAAATTCCCTTCCTTCTAATGCATTGGAAAAAAATTAACTATATTCAGAGTGGATTATAGTTGCTCATCGGATTTCGAATTATTTAAGTTCCACCTGCGAAGAAAAGCTATTCGCATATAAAAGAAATTATTTTTTATACGGAAATAACTGCCTGAGGCATTATTTTTTGGCAAGTATGAATTAAAATGAATGAAATACCTGCATCTTCAAATCTTTGAATGAGATTTATATCACACTGCAAACGAACACACTGGCGGCCGAGTTGTAAAGTCCCTGAATACTGGTAGTTAGGTTCGGGGTTCGAATCCCAAAGAATGGGCTAGCTGCGTGGCATTTTCGTGGTTTTCTTCGTGTATAACGTCTATACAAGCCAGTTTTCCTTAGAAAGTTCTCCATGAAAACATCTCTCCTTTTAAGCAGATAGCCTTCAAGTGCTTTGTCAAAAGTCAAGTAAACCAATCACGCTGTAAACTATTTAGCTGTATTTATAGATTTTTTGGTGCGTTATCCATAGTTGTTTTTAATGGTATTGAAAGCAATGTAAACTCAAGCTTTAAATAATTAAAATATTGAAATCTTTGCAACAAATACATAAATGAAATGCATTTGAGGGCCGCGTGTGATCCGAACACCGCCATTTTGAAACCAATGGTTTAGACCATTCAGAGAACGCTGATATTTTTATGCATTGTGCGTCTATGCTTAAACTTTAGCAACTTAAATCTTCATTTGATTAACTTCAAAGAGACTTGATGCACATATTTTTTATTGTAACCGGAAGTGAAAAATTATAGAAGAAACATGTGTAAAAACGAGTCAAAGGAAAGGATTTGATGTTTTACCTAAAAAGTTATGTAGTAATAAAAAGTGTTTTTTCACGTAGAACAGAAATTCTATCTTAAGGAAACTAAGAGTTTCTGCATAGTTAACTAAAGAAATTGTACCTAATTAATCTACATTACAAAAATCTTGCAGCAAATTTCGCTGATTAAGAAACGTTTCCTGATTTTTACGTTAAATTTATGCATTTCTGTTTTAAATCTAATACCAATATCGTTACTAAAATACGTATAGAATTTTGTAAATATAACGCTGATTTTTGTTGTTTGACTTCTGAATTAGTACGTATAGAAGTTAGAGAACAATATAGATCGATTAAATCGATTATCGAACGATCAATGGATTATGGAACGATATAAATCAATTAAATATCGAAAATTGACAATAGTTTTATACATAAACTGATTACATCTAAATTTTCTAATTTTTTATTTATAAAATTTACTTCAGTTTTCGATGTATAGGATGTGCTTTCCTATTGAATTTTATATCAGCGATATTTTTCAGCAAAATTTAATCAAACCTTTATACCTAAAGTACTAGACAAAAAAGGTTAATTTAATTTTCCGAATATAAGTACTTAATGTATTCCAAAATTTTTAATGTATTTGGTCATCTTTACATCTGTACCTGATTTTTATAGTACATCTTTAATATAATTGTATGCCAAACATATACGATGATAGTGAAAAGTGCTCCGCTTAGTCTCAGCAGACCCCACCGTGCACCTTCTTTCCTTGTTCTGGTTCTTACTTCAATGTTCCTCGTTTCGTGGCCAATAACCGGAGGACACAGTACTAAGCTCTTTATTTATGTTTATTCATGTATTTATTTTTAATTCCATCGACGGGATCAAACAGGCTGAAAAGCACCTAACCCAGTGAGCCAGCTGTTCGGTCGATGGTGAAAAGGAAAGTGGTACTTCGGCATACCTATGCTCTGAAATACGTCCAACTTTCTTCACGTTCCGTTCGGACGAGAAAAGTTTCACTTGGTATACGATGTATGTTTGGAATTCGACTTCAGTTCGAGGAGTCATGATTGCGCGCACTACAGTTTTTTACCACTTTTGCAATAATGCTACGACTGCCCATGAGCATCAGTACGCCTGTTTCTGCTATTCAGTAAACAACCGGCGCTATAGCTCTGAATTTTCAAGTGATTTTGAATTTTTTTGCGTAAAGGGTTTATGAATTCGATAGCAATGAGCTTAAGGAAGTTAACGAAAGTAGTCAAGCAATTAAGGAAATTGTTAGAATTATCATAGAGATGTAAAAAGGGATTGTTGAAAAATATGAAGATGGCATACCACATGCTGAGAACAATACTGTCTACAGCTGTAAAAGTAAGAGACGCTGTTAAATCGGCTAACGTTTCGAAGGGGGTAAAATCGATCAAACAAAGATCAGAATCTTTAGAGCATTTTGGAAAACTGATTTTGATCTGGATAGCATAAAAAACATTTATGTACAGTTATAAAGTTTGGTATGTTTCGCAATCATCAATCAGTGTCCAAAGTCTTGGTAGAAGTTAAAAGAATCATAAATCGCTAAGTCTAAAATACGTAACAATTTAAACTTGAGAAGAGTGTAAAAGAGCCTTCTATTTTAAACTAAGAAGAACAGAAATGTATACTTGCTGACTTCCCAGACAGCACTTATGCCGAGATAACATGTTGATTATTTCAACAAAAATTCAAAGTTCAAATTTTAAACAAGCTAAACTAGTAGTCAAAGACTATATAATTCAATTTATCGCGAAGTTGGCTCACAAGCTAACCAGCGTAAATATTCACGCTTTCTCTTAGCTTCTCTTCTATTCAGCGTAAAACGCTTTCTCTTACAATCTAAAATCCTCATCTTAAATGCATACGAGCTAATTTGCATTCTGGCTTGAAAATGGAAAGGAGAAGTGAGGGTAAAGGTTTAAAAATCATAACTGTATTAGTTAATATAATGAGACGGTATAGTGGTTAGGGAAGAAGCCTGCGATACCAAAAGGACCGGGTTCGGGTCCAGGAGGTTGTAAACTGTCCGTCTTTTCATAGGAGCCAAAGGTGGCCGACTATTAGGTGCCTCTACAATAAAATGGCCACCCCCTTCTGGCTTCAGCAGTGGCCAGGCGAACAGGCAAGTACCCGCCTTTAGATCTAAAAAAAATTAACGTAATTGTCATGTACGTTCACTTTATACAGTGCATACTATTTCGCCCACAGAGTTTGTATTTTAGTATTAAACAGTGTTCTAATAATAACAAGAATTTTTTTTATATGAACGGGTTAATCATTTTTTTTACATTTCGTACTGGAAAAATTCGTTTGGTATACATTTAAAAATCTGGAACGAATTAATGACGAATATTGTATTACTAAAAACAGTTTATGAATCATTCGGAAATATAAAATCAGTGAACAATGTTATTCATTAAACAATTGTTTGTACCGAAACTAAATTGAATATGGGAGCATAAAAATATCAATAATTTGTTGGTATGCGTTCATAGCTCAAAACACGCCTCCTAGATCATACGGTATCAACGTGCAAACGGAAAATGTCTCTTCGCATTAATTCGTATTCTTGTGCAAATACAGTGGTTTCTCAGGCTAATTAGATTAAGTCATTATGACGTGATACCATCGTGTTAATCACGGCTGATCAGTTTGAGATGAAAGAAAGTTTAATCCAACTGTAAAATTAGATTTTAATACAAAATGAATGCTTAATAAGCACCTGTCAAATATAAAATATCCGGATTGAATTTTCGGTGTAAAAAACAAAACCGCGAGTGTTTATTTGCCCTCGCCAATTACAATAAATTCGAGAGGATCAACATGTTAGTAAAAAATAGGCCAAGCGTGAACTCGACGAAACAAAGATGTTTCCTTCAATGATTATTCCACCATCGTAATCATGAGTCATATGTATTCTTCCGCCTTTGAAATCATCTAGCTCCACGATAATTTCCGATCTTGAATAAATAAATAATTTTCTGTTGACCATGATAGTGAGAATCAACTGTCTTATACTGCTATTATTAAATGAATTTTGCTTATTTCTTTCATGGCTTATGAAAATGTCGCAGAGTGAACAAAGAGACCAAGAATGAAATGAAATCATTTTCCATGATGGCAATGAAATTTTTTAACTTAAATAAAAAAGAGAAAGAGTGTTCGGTTTTTGCAGTGAAGTGACACAAAATCCTATTTCGTAACAGTCCCTTTTGGGCTAAAAAAAGAAATATTAAAAAACTGTTAGAAAAAGTATCTGCATGTCCAGTTTTCAATGTAAGATAATTCTTTGTTGTTGATAAACTGCATTATAAAAAGTTATTAATCGTCCGGATCTCTAAAGTCATGAGAAGTCAAAAGCATTTATAATGCATTTATTTAATAACAGAATTATTTTTTCTATGGTTATTGTTTTCTGATTCTGTCAAAGGCATTGTAAAAGAAATTTTAGGAATAGTTAACGTAATTATTATCCGGGCATAAAACATGAGTTTGTGTCCGGATAATAATTAATCGTACGTTATGA